TTCAAGTTGACTATATTTAAGAATGATAATTTTTTTTCATTTTTCTGCAAGTCTCGAAAATGAACTGATAAATAATATTATTCTTTAGAACGTTTCAATGAACACACACACACACAAACACACACACACACACACACACACACACACACTGATGTTAATAACAGAATAGTCAGTAATTACATTTTGGTGATTTTATTGCTGTCCATGTAACTTTGATGATTTAACAGACTGAGCTTTATTATATTTCCGCTTAGTTGTTATTGGAATATTCGTCACGTCAATGAATAACATCGTGTTTTAGCAAATTTCCATAGTAATATTACATTTCATATACACGCGTAGCTGTTATATTTGTACGAGTTCTATATGTTGTGTGACGCATAAATTTATGTTATTATACAGCATTTCGAATACTATCGCGATTGCCATGTCAACGACAAATCTTCCAATTCTTCGGTGATTATTTAGTGTTGAGTGGGAATCTTAACGATCTACTTAAAATTAATCGAGAATTCCGAATTTTGACGTATATTACTTATTTATTGAACAAAGGTTTTCTTTTTATAGCAAAGGTTTTTTTATAAAAATCTCACAACTATCGACTTTGATGTTCGGATGACTGCCGTTCTTTTCAATTTAGCCTCAGCTTTTGAGGGACATAGCATGGCAATTACAACGCACGTTATACGCATCTTCGTATTGTAGAACGTCAAAAGGATTTCTATTCTGTAGAAATAAAGAAGAAAGAAAACTTACGGACGATAGAGAACGCGTGGAACAGCGCCGGTAGCCTATTGTTACCATCTCTTAAAAGGGAAAAGAATGTCTGCCCCTTAATGTACAAGATCAACGTGTGAACTTGGAGTGTAAATCTTTCAGTGTGCCTTTGGGTCACACGAGAAATCCCTTAATTGTTTCCAACGTTGTATATATTTTGCAATATTCCAGCATACAAGATATATATTCCACATAGCCGTGAGGCGATCGCGAGTTTCGTACAAATTATATGAAGAAGCTACAGAGCCTGGCGAGATCCAGTATCACGGGACCATTAATCTTCGTCCAGCGCCCCTTTGCCGTCAGATTAGGATCCTCCTTAGACTCCCCTTGCATCCTTCGCAGTGGCGTAGCGAAAGGGCGAACGTTAAAAGAGCCTCTCGACGAATATAATACGCTCTTCGACTGTGCTTGATTTAATACGGCAGTGAAAGTTAATGTTACCGTCAAGATTAACCCGTTTCTTCCCTCCTCTTTTCGCTCTCTCAGTTTCTCTTGAGGTACATCTCCGACACTAATTAAAATACGATATTGTGCGTATCTTGGCGCCTCAATGATAGTCGAATGAATAATTATACGCATTTCAAAGGAAATATCTGAATTTATTTTAACGCGAGTATTCAATTCCGTGTGGATTTTCAGCTCAATTTTTTAAAATAGCTGGATTATACACGGTAATTTTTTTAATCTAGAACTATCGCAATCTATAGATATTAAATATATTGTTAATATAAAATTCGCGATAAAATTAAAATAAATGTTCAATGAATATAACGACCGCCGAGAGATGAAATTATTACCCGTGGTCGAGAATTAGGTTAATTGCTTGCCACTCTATCGAGACTTCTTCTTGCTTCTCCTGCTGGTGGTCTTCGACTTGGCCGAATCGACACGAATCTTTCACGCCATTGTTTGCGTGTTGCGGAACGATCCTTTTAGCGAGGTGTAAACGGATAAATCCGAATTCGGACGTTTCTCTGACGTTGCGTCTAAGTTGTCGGCCTTATCGGCTCGCAGCCGTAAAGTTGACGGCGCTATCGGGAACGTCGGTCGCTGCAGAAACTCACGAATCTGCGATCCTCCTTCGTGACTGCGATACGTCGTTATCGCGCGAGAGGTTTTGTTTCCCCGATCGAGAGAGCGCATGCAATCCGTCGAGTCGCGCGTGCAGCAACGTGCCGTACACATGCCGCGCATATTTCACGTTCAGTTTCCCAATAAGTCCTCTGGTACATGTTGAAAATATACGCGCGTTCAAATGTTTTTTATTAAAAGGTACAATACGACTCACGTACACGCATACGCAGTAATATAATTGGATTTGGGTAGATTAAATAAAATCAAAAGATGTTGATGTAGATTTCAGAGAATTAAAATAGGTGCTGAATGGAACAGTAAGACTGAAAGTAGGATAAAAATTCTATGTTTATCCTAAGTTTTTGTTACAAATATTAAACAACTGCTACCAGATTACTCTACGCCGAGAATATAAAAGTGCGGACGCGGAAATTAATATTCTCGCGCGATTATTGTCCACTGAAATTCCCGGCAATATCCTACGAGATATTATTTTCAAGCGTTTCATCCTGCGCATTGTTGGTGGCCGCACCGCTGAGTGCATTAGAGCAAAGTGCATCCAGGTCTGTTGCGTTATGCCATTACGAGAATTACCAGCGGGAAATGCCTCTTCTGTTTTTCTCCACATTCGCGTAAAATTGTCTGGTTAATTGTATTTCATTGTTATCTACGCAGCTCGTTGCTCCATGTGTCACGTGTACGCAACAAGAAAGATACATCGATGCGTATTATCGCTCGTTAACTCTGCACGCGCGCACACCGCCGCTGTTAGCGAGATCAAAAAATCACAAGTGCATAACGGCGATGCGGATTTTTTGTGCAGATTCGCAATATTCATCGATCTGCGAAATTGCCGCGTCGGAATTGCGGGGAAATGGATGTCGACGACCGATGGACAATAATTTTCCGCGATTTTGTCCGCGCATCTGATGAATAATGGACGAATGATCTTATTTTCATTAACCTCCGAGACTATTATTGTTGCGATAATTTTCTCCCAAGAAAGGTGAACCGCATTTTATCACGATAACTCATTCGATGTGCCAACCTTCTGTCAATTTCGCAACACTTTGTGTATTGTCATGCCGTTTCACTATGTGAAATGTAGGAAAATATATAATATAATCAAGCAACATCCGTGATGCGTGGACATTTTGTAGAATAAAGGAAGGATATCTAATTTACAAAGTAAAACATATAATTTGATAGGTTACGCTTGTTGCGTTCATATTTTACGCTCGAATTTTTACTAGCGCATCGCATATGTACGCTGTTTGCACACGTCGATAAATATGATGAATCATCGTTAATTCATAGCGTAAAGTTTGAATTGCGAGTGTTTGATTGCAACAAATATTGCATAATCGATATTCTAACGCGTGTGTAAATGTGAGATTACGTTCGTATATCGTATTATATTATTCACATATTTCGTGCTGTAAACATTTGTCGCAAAGCACGTCAGCGTAAAGATTTGTCGACCGTAAACTGACTCAAACATTATCGCTGATGATTTCGCGATTACTGATCGCGTATTGTCGACGTTCGAACTAATGCTCGCTTTGTATAACGCGACTTCCATTTTATATTAACATTATTAAGGATCCCTTATTAACGACTCTGTGCGATTGATAGAAGTTATTCAGATCTATCGCCGCGCTCTGTTGGTTAAATATAACTTTACGTATAAATACATAATATTGCACGTGCCGGCGTGTGCGGTTAACGATGGTCAAAATAACATATAAACATTTAATTAATAAGTAATAATTACCTTTATAATTGTATGATGGAGAGAAAGCACACACACATTCCACGTGTGTGTACTTTCTATACTATGAGTGCGTATGATATTCCTCATTATTTTCTATTTAGGACTTTAACGAGGAGAGGAAAATGTACCTTTGCGCGCGGTGAACTGTGCGCTGTGCTGCATGCTCGCAGCACCGCAGATAATCAATTTTGTCCCAATTAAAATTTACAACAGGCGAGCGCCCCCGAATACTACGCGCTGGGAGGCTGACAACTACATTGTCGACATGCCGAAATTCCCTGGAGTCCGCTGACCGCTCGTACTTTCGAAAATAGAAAAATCATAAAGAAAAAGAAATTTACTCTTTTTATATATCTTGACTAATTGATCTACTTTGTACACATACTTCATTAAATAACTAAGTAACATAAGGTTCCGTGTTATATAATACGATTTATGGTATATTTACTTTGTATATTCAGAACACGAATTCAGACCACATATAACTTAAAAAATAAGTTATATATATATATATATATATATATATATATATATACATATGTGTGTATTATATAATTTTTACATAAATCATTAAATCTTTTCGATTCTGTTTTACTGTCGCGTCACACACTTATGATAGGTTAGATATTCTGGTCAGGTTTTGCTTAAGTCCACTCACGTTCAAGGACACGTTGAAATATGAGATCATGCACGTGAATTCGATTGGAATTCGTAAGCATGTTTACATTATCGCATTCACGTGACAATCGGGATCGTGAGGAGAACAAGAAACGATGAGCGTCAAGACGAGAGCTATCATTGTTTTAAAGTATTTCGAGCGATATTTCGGATATCCTGTAAATTACACCGAATCATGAATAACATTCGTGCGGGAAAACGCGCAATTAGTATGTATATAAAACTGGACCGCCGAATGAGAAAAATCAGTCGAGTACGAATAGCAGTGCAATTGTGATTGTGAGAAGAGACGTTACTTAAATCTAATCATGGCCCGAAAATATACGTTCTCCATGATCTTTCTGGTGCTCGTTTGTGCAAACGTATGTGTGAACAGATTTTACAAGTATCCATAAGAAAAGATTCGATAAGCTTTTCTAATTTAATTCGCGTAAAATTTTAGCTTTTCTAATTTAATTCGCGTAAAATTTTACTTTCACAATTATTCGTAGAGGTCGGCATTGAATGCCGAGCAATTGAACGAAAAAGTATATCAGTCGGTGTTATTGTTGCTTAGCACTGTATTATTTGATACCATAAAATTTCGCTCTCAATATTATATATTATGTTATTTGTTAATATAACACTTTATATAATATTTTATAGGTATTACAAGGGCAACCTGTAGGAACTTTATTTCCTAACTTTGTTAGCACTCTAGCTCTCGATAAAGTTGGTGACTTCGCTCATAACATGCTCAAAAATGCGTTCAATATGAGGAAAACCTTTCAGGAAGGCTTTGGTAGCTATTTAGGAACATTTCATAAAGAAATGAAGGGAGGTTTTTCACAGGGACTTGAAGCCCTCAAACATATAGGATCAACACTGCGTGCGGGTCCCTTGGGGCCAGAAGGTGCATCACCAGCAGCACCAGTAGGAGTTGTTTCCACTGATTAAAAAATTTTCTGTATGTTTCTTGCGTAGATTAAAAATAACACGTTAACAAGTTTACATTTAACTCTAAAATATTATTAAAATTTTCTAAAATATTAGATTGATTATGATATCGTAGATCAGTTTGTAGTAGAGAATACGACGTACACATGTAATTTTTAATTAAAGAATCGAAATAGTAATGTTGAATATATATAATTGTAGGCAATTTCTTATAAATCAATTGTTATGATTAATACACAATAGTTGCGAGATACTTGTTTGTTGTAGTGAACAACAAGATATTATCGTCGTGCTAATATCCGTCGAGGTGTTAATCCATCGTTAACGTAGCGTAAAAATTTATATTTCATTAATTACATTAATTAGCTGTCGATTTGTTTACTATTTTTGTGAATCATAAAATGGAATAAATTCAAAGGAAACTTCCGAGTTAAAATTTTGATCCTACTTTCAACCTCACTATTTCATTCAACACCTATTTTGAAAAAAAATAAAGTAAAAGAAAGTAAAGAGAGAAACTTCGAACATTATCAGATTCAAAGTAGGAGTAAATATTATTAGAATTAGACTTACTTTGATAATTTAATTCTTACTGCGTTGTAAAATTCAAGCTTTAATATACGGCCAAAATTTCGACTCAGATTGGTTCACTAAAACTGAATAATTGTTCATTATAAGTTAGGAATGCCTGCATTATATAAAACATTGAATTTGTAAACGGAATATCTATGTTGTATGTGTACGAGATTACAAGTAAAATGCACATGTCTGTCATTAAATATGTTGTGTTAACGTTAAAAAAATCCACGCATTTAAATTTGTCCCTCGAATTATAAAACGCTTTAACCGTTTTATTTATTTATCATTTAGCCAAGTAACATTTTTATCACCAGTTCACGCAATATATTATACTGAATTAAATTAAAGTTTATGCGACACGCGCGATTAATTTACAAGCGTATTCGCGTGCCAGTTTAAATATTTCTGATTCGTATTCTTCACACGTTTGAAATGAAACTCTACTTCGCAACGGTGAGTAAAATATGACAAGTGTGTTTCTTGGCACGCGGCCTCTATTTATAGCGGTTGGAAGAAGTTCAAATGCGAAAGGGACAAACAATCTCGGGTGCGTTCCGAGAATGCAAACTCAAACTGAGGCAATATCAAACAAAGTACCATGATGATATCCTCTTGACGAAAGAGGCGTCACGGAATAAAAAATTTGTACGATGTAATGTGCAGTTTACAAAATTTCACTGCGGGATTAGTAGGCGGGACGTTACACAGAGTACCATAATTTTGACTTGTTTTTAAAACATTACACGTTTTAAAAATATGATAAACGTAATATATCAGCTGTACTTCGATAAATTCTTATCACATTGTCACGCACGGAAATGCAAATGGTCATAAAACAGTTATCGAGTCATTGTAAATTCTAATTGTTGCCTTAGTATCGCGAGATAGTCACGTGTACGTAGAAACCGCAATAAATCTCACTGACAGTAATAATAGTTGAGAAAGCAGTTAACGGTCACCAATGCCAGCGAGTTGCGTTCTACTATCTTAACGTCCTTGCGTGAGCATTCGCTTCCTGATTCGTATTCCGCAACTACTTGCTCCACGCTGTCAACGAGTAGGCTTTCTGTTTTCACCGTGCTCGTTTTATTACGCGAGAATTAGCATAATAAAATATAAAGTGTATCATTTCCATAATAACGGTAAAATGTGACGCAACAATAGTGTAAATAAGATATTGGATGCACCTCTTTTTGTCAGTTTTATTATCTCGCTAAGAATACATTTACCGCGTATAAAAATGTCGATTGAGCAAGTATTATTTTTCTCAACAGAACGCAACAGAACATGAGTTTCTCCATATTTGTAGTAATAACTGTGTAATATTTTGTTGTACTCATACATTAAAAATAATATGCAATCATTTCTTAGTAATCGATAAGGAATCTCGAGATGAAGACGAGATGATTCCTGACAGTACGAAAACAATTGTAGCTGTGATGGTGCGACTATCTAAACAATAGCACTACATGTTGGTTGGTACAACTGCAATCAGTATGCCAAGCGCAATTTCAGTTCCAGCAACTTCTATTATTAGTGCCTTCTCTACGATGCGATCGAATTAATAGTTGAAGAGGATTACGGAATGTCTGGAATTTCTACTTGGTAGCATTGCGATTTAGCAACATCGAGATCGTCAGCAGTATCGAGTCTTTAATAGCTTCTTCGACAGCGTGATTTCCACATCGATCGCCCTCCAAATTTTTTAATTTTTTACAATCATACTTTTATTACTTTTATTATTACTTTTAGTATTACTTTCCTCGCCGTGAATATCGTGAGGGAATTTTCCGGTAAATCCAAATGAGATAATAATACATCAATGCTTCTTTCCTTTCGATGAGCACCGCGAATATTGTCATGTGGAAGGACAGCGCAGTTTAGATAAGTCTTCCGACGTTGGCGGTCATGAATACATATGCAATAGGAAAGCTGATTGAAATGTAACGGTTGCGCCACTGCTATTACCTACGATGTTCGCTGGACCAACGACAGTCCTGCCCACAGATAGTCGAGTCACAATCGTTGGAGCACGTATCGTAGAAATTCAATGTATGTCGCTTACTATGGCAAACCGCGCGTTCCTATCTGCACGGATATTTTATGGATACAACATTATACATTGTAAAAAAATTTGCGTACATAGTACGTAAATAAATATTCCAAAACGTTCACTCTAAATTTTGTGTCGAAAATAATTTATTCATATGTTCATTCGTGTGTTATTTATCTTATGTACTAGTCTATATATAATGTAAATAACACACGAATGAACATATGAATAAGTTATTTTCGACACAAAATTCAGAGTGGGCTTTTTGGAACATTTGTTTACGTACTGTGTACACAAGATTTTTTACAGTGTATACATCATTAACAGTGCTAGATCATATTGTCGATGGAGTGAACAATCGTAGTTAACAATCGTGATGAATAATACAGATGTTTAATTGATGTTTCGTAAACAAGGGCCGTCGAGAAATGTCAACTGCGAACGATGCGCTTAAGTCGTTTTCTAGGGAAAACAATGCAGTCGATGAGAAGTAGAAATTTTGGCAGACAACCTGACTGCGAAATCATTCGAGGTCAAAAGGTTAAACGTATAAAGACGAGCGTCGCTGTGTGACGGATCGTCCATACGAAATCACGCGAATAATGCAGGCGTATTGCTCCGAATGCGTAGTAAATCAATGTATTCCCAATCGGACCGTATCATTTAGAGCATAATCGTATCGAGTCCGGCGTATCATCGTCACTACCACAGTGCATGCATCCCCGTGGCCCGCGTCAGCACGTCGAGTGATTTGAGAACAATATCAACGACGCATCCGTCCCGGCCAATGAGAACGGATACAGAGTTGCGCGTACGCGAATTTGCATAACTCGGTTCGTTGCGGACGTGCGGCGCATGGATAGCGCTCGATGGTTGGCGTTGTCGTGCGATCCCACGTAGCGCAATCGGGCAATCCTCTTTCCTGAAAACGGGAAAAAAAACGATTTGTAACGGAAAATGGTAATACTATTACCATACATGCGCCGTTGATAGGATTACAGAACGTAAAATTGATAATTTATGCGTGAGGTTTAATACACTTTGGCGTGTCGCGCGCATTGGAGAGAGAGAGAGAGAGAGAGAGAGAGAGAGAGAGAGAGAGAGAGAGAGAGAGAAAGAGAGAGGACCAATTAACAAATATAAATATCCGAACGCCAAGACATTGTACGTAAATAATTTCGAAATTACACTATTCTAAAACAGAGATGACTGTAATAAAACTGTATGAAATATTACGAAGGTCGAAATTCGCGAAGCATTTCGGTCGTGTTATCATTAAAATACGATATTCGTTTCAAGCACACCGAAGTGACCTACAGCGTTGATTCAGAAACAGCTCGATGCCGCTCGATTCATATTTCACGCGAGTGACACAAAAGTGCATTACTGGACTAGTAGATTAAACTTTTCTCATCAAGCACGCGGCGACGGATACTTTCGACATAACAAGCTCCCCTTCGACCACTCGGTTGATGAAGTACGACAAAGTTTGCCCGCTTACCGGCAACTTCATCACGGCTACGTTTCCACGGTGACTTTTTCAATCCTCTTTCCGCGACCCCCGTATTGCCGGCTGCAAACTCGTCGATTTTCTCATAAGCTATTCTTTCTATTATAGAGACTTTGCTTACGGGTAGCTTTCATTAACATGAATGGAACAAATGTCGGCATTAAAGTACATTTCGCTTCTCGCTGAAATATTGAAGCGAAATCAATTTGAAAAAATCCCCCGTTTGTTCCGTTATTACAATGCGATCAATCTGAATTGAAATTTATTGTGCTTGCATTGCTAGTTCTCTGAAATCTATATGCAAAAGTATATTGAATAAAATACAAAGAGTATATTGAATGAGGGCTATTGTACAATGTATTATTCACGCCATAATAGACTTAGATCGATAAAAGAATTATCAGATCGATAAAAGCAGATCAGAAACACATTAATTCTTCAAGGTGACCGTTTTACCTTCCAACCGGCTTCGAAATAACTGCAGTGAATAATTTTCACATATGTCTATCTGTTAAATAATTGTTTAGACATATAGATTTTTCGAAAGAAATTGTACATGAACGATAAGAGGGTGATTTTAATATTCCTGTCTATCATTCTATCACACTAAATGATACAATATTGTCGTTGGACAATGTTACAATTTCTTGGACAGCTATTCTTAACTTAATGCATCATATTGACCACACCTAATGACAGAATAATGATAATCAACATAGACACGAACAACTTTATGTTCGTGTAAGGTAAATGACATTGGCGATCGTTAGAGTAGGAACAAATCGCTATAAAAGACATTGTCAGACCAAGCGAGTCTATTAGTTCGGACTTTTCAGCATCGGGAGAAGACCGAAAGAGACAACAACGTCAATTGATCTTTCAGCTGATCACGAAATCTCTCATCAATAACTGCTGCATAAATTTTCAGATGTCTCTTAAATTTTGACATCTCTGCATAATTTTCAGGATAATAAGGTAATTATTTCAATCTATTTACGTAATACAACATTAAAGCATCGTTTATGTCTCCATCATTTAGTTTTCAAGATCCGTTATACTGTTTTCTTCAGGTGATAATTTTCGTTATAATCGCAATGACTATCGCTCATCTCGACAGAGATGAGCGTAGAAATTTGAGTGTGCCTGTGGCCGCATCGTTGGCGTTTGTAACTACAGTAACAGGACCGAAAGCTGGTCCAAACAAAGCTGTGGTAGGTCCCGTTGCTGGCGCTGCAGCTGTTGCTGCAAGCGTATCCCCGCTCGTTACTTCTCCGGTGTCCGGTAAGTAAACGAGTTGCATTAATTAAGACAGCTATTGACAGTTGTCGAATGAATCGGTGAAGCTCTTTAGAAAATGAATATTCCCAAGTGTAAGTCACTCAATACTCCCGTATGACTTGTAATGTTTTTTATCAATATACTTTTACAAAATTAATTCTCGGTTTGAATATATAAGAAATTTGTTATTATTGTTTCGACTCGCGCGTTTTCGTTTCGTTTATAATACTATCGCAAAAAATGTTATATCGTTTATGTGACAATATTTATAATATACGAATAAGTTGCAGTTAGTTACACAAATAAAAATAGAATGGAATTCTACAATTGTAAAATAGTAAATATATATAACGTAGAAACATATTTCATATACATCGATAATATCTGATTCTTTTCCATCCATAAGGATTCCTTGTTTTAAAGAGATCAAAACGCTTCTCAAAAGTCATGCAAATATGATATTTTCACGTACCGCAAAAATGCTATTCCAACTTTTAACGAGGTAAATTTTGCAGCAACAACGGTCATCGTCAGACAAGCAGGTGCAGTTGTCACTTCGAGGCTGTCCGTCCCGGACACTATTGCAGCTCCTCATGTCTAGTAACTACAAGTGTCAAATTATGACGTTACAATAATGCGGAAATTATTGTATTATAGAATGGAATTTGAATAAATTTCGTTGATCTACCAAATATGCATTGCATCATTAAGGATATTAATAATGCCAGATCCATTATCATTTGCCAATCCTCATAATTTTCGCCACTTATATTGATAACATAATCTTTCAAATTAAAATATAATCATAAATACTAGCAAAGCAATAAACGTTTCGTTACATAATATATGTTTTGTTTATGATTCTTCATATTTATAGACGCACACATTGTTCTGAAAAAAATACATATCTTTTTAATCAATTTAATAGATATAAATTTTTAATATTACTTATAACTTAAATATGTCTTGTATTTGAATCTTAGAATATTCGTTTTTCTTGACTTGATTTTTAGAATAAACTAAATTTGTGCTTATTAAATTTTGCAAACTTTTACGCAAGGATTATACATTCGTTAAAAAGACTACTATAAGACCAAAAATATATCACATCTGTTATAAATAACTAATGCACTGTAACACTTCATAGATATCCTATAAAATTTGACAATATTTTTTGGATATTTGCAAGTAGACTGCGATTAGGTAAAGTAGTTTCAGGTAGTATTGAGAGGCAGTGAATGAGAAACTTAATCCTTATTGGCGGAAAATCGTTAAATCGACCATATTTATCAGAAGAGAGAGACAGTGTCTCTTTGTTGTCCCACTTTATCAAATGGATTTTACCACAAGTCCATTAGCAAACTATAGTTTCTAGCGTAACCACCGTTCTTGCAAGTTCAGGCACAATATTTAAAGCTGCAATACCGCAATTGCATTTCTTTACCAAATTTTCGGTATTGTATTTAAATATATAAAACTGCTGTTACACTTGTCAAGAAGACATCAATAACTCGAATTATTATTAAAAGATACCGAGAATTATTTTCTCTCTTACTACGGGACCGACAGCAGACGGCACGACTGCAGCCATAAAACATGCAGATGGGCCAACTACGACTCGAACCGAATCCAAATCGAACCCAAAACAGGCCCAACTATAGTCGTCTCATCTGCAGCGAGTTCAGCAACGTAGAAGGTGAAACCACTCCAACTACAACGGTTGCAGGTGCAACAGGTCCTGCAAGACCGATGCCATTTCCTAAACCTCCCAGGACTGTGCCATTATGCCTGAGATACCAACTTAGAGTGCGACATGAAGGTTCCAACGTGGCCGAAATGACAACCGCCACAATCGACGTTTTAATTAATTATAAAACTATTGCGTACTACATATAATAATATCCACTTCCAGAATGTTATTATAAGTTAGTGTGTAATTTCATTTTCTAGAGTAATATATTAAGATTCTATCGATATTAAGTTTCTAGATTAATATATAATAATATATTAATGTGTATAGTAATCATACACTTCATGATTGTCTAATTCTCCCGAAACTCGATTTGATATAGTCGATCTGTAGTAATGAAAAGTTAGCAGCGCAGATTTCAACTCTGCGTTGGATGTCGTAAGAGAATGCGATGAAAACTAATTATGCTAAGATAAAAGCAGTACGTATAAAAAAAAATCAGATTCATCATTTAATCTCCCGCTCAGTTACCGCTTAAAAACATTATGTGCAAATAGTGAGAAAAAAGGGATATTCATTATCTGTGATAAAATAATTACAATAACATAAGAAAATAGCGTTTTTATGATTTAATTATAGTCTTAATATTATAGAATTTTCTAAAAATTTGTTAAAAACGTTTAAATGCATATTGCATTTAATTGCAAAATTCAAGTAACAGTTTCTTCGCAATATCGGAGCCGTTCTCCCGCGCATATACGTGTACTGTTTACTATATATTCACATATCCTGTGTGCAAAAATTATATTCCATTTATAAAAAAAAATTTTAATAACTTTTTAACAAACAATGAGCAACGCATAATACCTTTTGGATTGCGTTCCAAAACATCTTTTTTGAGGAAATTTTACTCGATACTTTATAATATATGTAACGTGAACTATAGGTATTGAGTAAAATTTTCCTTAAAAAGAACGTTTTGGAATGCAACCTCGAATGTTATTCAAAAATAATATCATGATAACATATGTCAAGAAGGTGCTCATCAGGAGGTGTTTCCATTAATGTAAATAATTACACAACCATCAATTAATGTGTGTTTGTGTGTACGTGCGCGAATATAATCAAAAATTAAATGAAGAGTTTGATAGTCCAAGATTATATTATATTTTATTCCACTTCATATTTGTCGTAAAATAATGCATCAATAAATAAGTCTGACTTTCAAATGTCATGTAGATTGGTATATGCGCTATCTAAAAGAGGATGCTAAAGCAAAAGAAAACCTTATTGAAAGAAGAGAATTATGAAACAGGGGAAGCTAGCTTCTCTGCAAAATAACTGTTTTTAGAAGAAGCCGAAAGAATGATGCATTGGAACAACTACACGGACTATATCGCATCGTAAAACGTAACATAGATTACGACCGGATCCTTAAAGCAAAAGAATACCTAAATGGAGAGGATTCCATCGTTTAATGGAATATTTAGGTTCTATTTGGGGAAGATTGTTTGGAAAAGACAAAAAAGAAGTAATATATGAAAACGTATTACACAATTTATGTAAACATCCAACATGCTAAATAAGAGTATAAAGAAATTTTCAAGAGTATATTGATACCAAGCGATGTTAAAAATAATGATGAAATTGACATAAAAAATATAGACAAAGATATAGATACATTGATCATAAAATATGTACTAATCATGTTCTTAAATTTTTATTTAACTGGAATGGATTTAAATATCGAAAAGTTTAATTCAGGTTTTAATATTTTCCAATATATAAAAAATACAGATTTTATGTGATTTGTCTTAATGTCTAATATCTATTTTATGAGAAGGAAGATATATATATAACTCATATTAAGTTTCTATATTTATCTTTTGTTTCTATAATTATAATAATGTTGAATTATTAAAAAAAAATAAAATATATAATGTTCCTTACAAACAAGATTACGACCTTTGCCCTTACAACGTCCACACCTACAATGTCTATATCTACAACGTCTAAATCCACCCCTGCATCTACAATGTTTACATCTACAAGCTCTACAACTACAACGTCTAAACCTACGTCTACATCTACAATGTCTACATCTACGCAACTGACAACAGACGGCTCGGCTGCAGACGCAGAACCTACAGATGAACCGACTATGACAATCGAACCTGAAACAGATGCAATTATAGTCGTTTGACCTGCAGCGAGTTCGGCAACGGCTGCAGAAGGTGAAACCGGTCCAACTACAGCAGTCGCAGGTGCAACAGGTCCTGTAAGAGCGATACTATTTCCTAAATCTCTCAGGAATACTATGTTATTATGCCTAAGATACCAACTCAGGGTGCGACACAAAGATTTGTGGCCGAAATGACAACTAATACAACCGAAGTTTTAATTAATTGTAAAACTATTGCGTGTTACATATAATACTATCTGCTTCTAGAATATTATTACAAGTTTGCATGTCATTTCTTCTTCTATAGTAATTAATATATAATAATGTATTAATGTGTGTATAATAAAGTTACCATGCACTTTAAGATTGCCTAATCCCAGAGTTTCTCTGAAACTCGGTGTGATATAGTCGATTTGTAGTAATGAAAAGTTAGCAGCGCAAATTTCAACTCCGCGTTGGATATCGTAAGAGAATGCGACGAAAACTGAGCATGCAAAGCATTACGTATCAAAAAATTCAAACTTATTATTTAATCTCCCGCTCAATTACCGCTTAGAAACGTCATGTGCAAATAGTGAGAAAGAATGGATTCATCATCGATGATAAATTAATTACAAAAAAAAATGACGTTTTTGTGATTCAGTTATGGTCTTAATTACAGAATTTTCTAAAAATTTATTAAAACGTTTAAATGCATGTTACATTTAATTGCAAAATTCAAATAACAGTTTCTTCGCAATATCTTGATGAATAATAATTTTAATTTTTTCATAGTCTCTCTGGCTTGAAACATTCATTTTTAAGAAAGAAAATGTGCAAAATTTTTATCTTGATATTATTATGTAAACCATTACTTAGTTACGTATAACTAGTATACAAAGGAACAAATAGATAAATACAAAAGTTACTGTCTATTTAAACATGAAGGTTTTTAGTGCACGTGTCCTCTATTAACTTAAATATTCGATAGTTACTTCGTATACTTTACGTAGAATAAGATAAAATAATAATATATAAACTGCACGAAATAATGATATAATTAGTATGATAACGATGACATGCAAAACTATGATCTCTATATAAGTTAAGAACCATTGCTTAATGTATATTTTCCTCGTTTCAGTTTTACATTGATCATTCTACTACAGTACATCATATGTACGTATAACATTAAGTTAAAAAGTGTTACTGAATTATTAGATATAACTCCAATAAATTTTTTTTTCAAGATATCAATTTTTATATCAATTTTTTGAGTATTGAATCGGCCGAAGTTATCGTATCAAACCAAAGAAAGGAAAACGGGTTAAAACGGCTTAAAATGGGTTTCGTGAAGCAAATTGTAAGTTTCATTTAACGTCCTTTAAGAGAATGCTGAAGCTGGAAACTTTACCGACAGAATACTGACATTTTTCTGTATTCTATTATATTATATATGATAATAGAATAATATTAAATTATTTTCTGCAAAGTTTATGTGTGTGTTATTACACTATTACGAAAGTACGTGCAAAAATAAGTAGAAGCTTTGCTCATTATATGTGACGGAAGCGAAAAAAATTTGAAATGTAAATTTTCAAGTTGTCAGTTAGCGTAATATTTACCTAATGTGCAAAAGTTCCGCAGTTTGTACATACCGAAACTATGGATGCTCCACACAAACAAAAATATTAAAGAAGATTGTTGCACTTTCGCATCTGAATACAAAAGCTTAAGAATATCGACGAAATTTACAGAAAGATTTCTATACATGTGTGTGTAGTTAGATTTTCCGCTGAATATAGTAAAACAAAATAATATACATTTATGTAAGCTCTATATGCATAAGAAATACGAAAAAATAGTGTGATTGTTAGTGACGATCGTCTCTGCGTTATCGGCATTATTTGAGACTTTGAGTTCACGATCGACTTCAGCATCCTCTTAATTATTACTATTTCTGTACATTATTTACTCAGAAAATTTTGAAAATTAATCCTGCGATTTCTCTTTTTTGGTTGTTTCAGATTATGTTCCTCTGTTTAACACAAATATTTATCCTGGAAAACGCTGCTGCTACTGGTAAAAACTAGGAAGATATATTTTCTTTCAAAGATAATTAATAAATTATGTATATTTGTAAAAAATTGTGATTTTTTTTGTGGTATATTAGAGCACATCGCGTATAAACTCTATTCTAAATTTCAAAATTCGCTATCTGAATTGATAGGTATACCCAAGTAATTTTATAGATACATAAAGAAATTATATTTGCTATTTAATTATATACCAGAGAATATGTTTAGAGATACAAAATAATACTTAAATAATTCTGCAATCTATTAATATGGAAACACTTTTAATATCTCCTAGTTTTTGGGGCTTGTATTATCTATTTTTGAAGAAAAAATAAGCTAAAAATAAGCTCTATTTAATGTTTTCTATTTTTATTTTTCATTTCTCTGTGATAGAAGTACAATAATCAATTAATGTATGTTTGTGTGCATGCGGGTGTGTATAAGACAAAAATAAAATGAAGAATTGATAGTTCGAGATTATATTTTATTTCACTTCATATTTGTCGTAAAAGAATGCATCAATAAATATGTTTGACTTTCTAACGACATGTAGATTGGTACAAACGCTATCTAAAAGAGGATGTTAAAGAAAAAGAAAACCTTATTGAAAGGAGTGAATTATCAAAGAGGGAAATAATAGCTTCTGCAAAACTACTGTCTCCAAAAGAAATCGAAAAAACTAACGCATTAGAACAACCTCATGAACTATATCACATCGTAAAGCGTAATACAGGTAAATTTTTAAGACTACTTTCACCAGAAACTTTAAATAATCTTGGAATCTGTTAATATAGAAACACTTCTGATATTTCCTAACTTCTGGCCTCCTAGTTTATAGTATCTATTTTTGAAAAAAATGTACTAATTCTATTTAATGTTTTCTATTTTTATTCTTTGTTTCTCTGTGACAGAAGTACAATTAATGTGTGTTTGTGTATATGTGCGTGCATACGCGCGCGTATAAGACGAAAGTAAAATGAAAAATCGGAGATTATATTACACTTTATCTTATATTTAGATTTTGTCTTACTTTACCTTATCACTTTATCGTGTTACTTTATCTTTACTTTATGTTTTTAGATTGGAATAATTCCTATTTAAAAGAGGTTGCTATACCAAAAGAAAACCTTATTAAAAAGAGAGAAGCATGTAGAAGCCGCTGTAGAGGGGGTCGTAGAGGGTGTCGTAGAAGGAATCATAGAAGGTAATATGTTAGAACGCAATTTATGAAAACATTCAACATGCTAAATAAGAGCATAAAGACATTTTCAAGAGTGTATCGGCACTAAGCGATGTTAACGACAATGGTAAAACTGACATAGATAACATAGATAACGATATAGATGCACATTGATCGTAAAATATATGCTAATTATGTTCTTAAATTTTTATTTGACTGTAATGTATTTAAATATCTAAAGTTTTAAATAATTCAGGAGGTTTTAATATTTCAATATATAGAGAATCCAGATTTTTTGTGAACTATCTTATATCTATTTTATGAGAAAGAAAATATGCATAACTCATATTGAGTTTCTATATTTATCTTTTGTTTCTATAATTATAGTAATGTTTAATTATTTAAAAAAATATACATATAATATTCGTTAATAGACGTACTACTACTACTACTACGGTGGCGTCCACATAACGTCTACATCAAAACAATTGATATCGACATCAAATATTGAAATACAAGGAAGATAACAGAACTGTTATCTGTGCACAATTAAGAAACTTGATATTGGGTCGATTTATATATGAAGAATTGTGCCTTATATATACTAACTTATATATATAACTTATATATATATACTAACTTATATATCTTACTTATATAACTTATATATACTACTTATATACTAACTTATATATATATATATATATATATATATATATATATATATATATACTAACTTATATATTATATATTATATATTATACTTATATATATAACTTATATATATATATACTAACTTATATATCTTGAATTATTGTTATTATACGCTTTGTATTTGTAAAATGAAAAAATAAATAATAAAATAAATTAATAAATATATATAAATATGTATCATCTTAGAATATGCGCACAAATCTTATAAAAATATATATGCGCTTGTTTGTATTATTTAATATTAAAGCGAACGTTATAGAAGTATGAGTAACGCAGCAACGAGATTTGTTCAACATATCATGCAGTTGTCGTGAAATCGCTGTCCCTAAATTCAATTTCATAATTTATTCAGTATATATTTCTATCTATTCTGTAGATAAATTTATTCGATCCATATCAGCAACGATAACACATTGTCCAGTTTCGCATGAGAAAATTACGATGCTCTCCGATTCAGTAACAAGCAGTGCGGTAGACGTTGCATTTCTGCAGCTGCTGCATTTACAACGAGTTACATCAATACTGCATTCATCTATAATGCAGCACAATAAACGCCACTAAGTATAAACCTCATCGACTGAAAAATATCAATTTTATATTATACTTTTATGAATTCCATAAATTATATATTTCGGACAGCTACTACGCGTTTAAAGATAATAGAAGATAAAAGACAATAAAAAATAAGACAAACGTGAAATATTTGTCAATTACTTTCGATATCGACTTTATTCTATTGTGATGTGTTAGAAGTATTATTGTTAACGTATTCCAAACGTTTAGATCGCGCGTCCCCCGCGATTCTTCCGTACAACAGTGCCACGATTCAATCTAGACTGTTCGCTTGTAAGAATTCATAGTACTTGTTGCGCTAGACCATATTTCCCTAAGTGCAGAGGAGGCCTCTTTGAGATGGTAATGCGCGTGGACGATGTGACCATAATTTTCACAGTTTCCAGCCACAAGTCAGATGAAAAGCACACTAGCGTACGGCGATGCGCAGACTCTATTATAACACAACGTCTTGCATTCGTGGCCGTGATTGAAAACGGAGATTAAAGGACGAGCGCGCGCCAGAATGTCGTGACGCGAGTGTGTTGCGTCGTGGCGCAGAGCGACGAGGGAAATGCTTCGATATCCGCGCGAGAGCGCATTGCCTTTATACAGAATACGCGGCTGATTGGTATAGCGTCGAGGCAATTTCCTACAATTACCGGTGAAGGTGGACCAGGTATCGTCTCGTAATGGAGACCTCGGCACCAATAGCGATACAATGGACCGCGAAATAGGGACCACTGACTGGCCACACCAATTCCGATTAGCTCTTAAAGAGGCATTATACACCCTGAAACAATAGACTCCAGCTACTCAAACTTTACGCTTCCCAACAATACGCGCGGCGCGTAATGCGCTCTCGTAAGAACCACATCGTTCTTCAACTTGCGTTCGAGTTTGACTTTTTATGTTGGTCACAATAAGAGCGCGACGCCGAAAATCTACGAGAGAGGTCGAGGGAAGCGTTACTTACGGGTCAAATTTCCTTTTCTTAAATTTTTGAATTTTTGACATACTTTTATGGAAGTTCCAGTAAATTACGGTTGTACTTAACTGCGCGAAGGGAAATGTAACAAAGCGATGGTTTTGTTCTAGAAGTGCTATGTGTGCGCATTTATTATTTTTATGTATAACACTGTATATGGGAAAACATTGTTATGTACACATATATAGAACATATAAGAGATACGCTGACGGGAGATACCCCGAAATGACGAAGTTCACGATGCAATGGTCGAGATGGTGGATACCGAAGAGATCAGTCGCGGAGGTCCTTGGGTCACGTTGCCGAATGAAACGAATTACCAGTGTCCGGCTGTATACCCCCGAACGATACCGCCTAAACCACCGTGTCCAGCAGCGATGCTACCGGATGGGCCTGCGATTAAAGCTGGAGCCGCGACCGGACCTGCGAGGGCCGCTGGACCTACAGCAGGGCCCGCCAGTACTGTTCCGTATGGACCTGAAGAATATTTTTATTGGTACATACATTTCCAAGTTAATAAATCGTAAAATATATCTTAGGATCGAAGGTTTGCGATCCATCAGAATAAAAATACAGTGCTATAGCTCTTATACAATTAAAAGATCAAAGGTGGGTAATAAGATAAGAATTACTACCGAGCTAACAAGCATCAGTAGTACACACATTGAAATGTCGTAATATTCGATCACTAAAGTTATAGCGAACGAGTTGGAATATATATACCACGATTTATCAGCTATTATATCGACCATGTTGCATATTAAAACTGTCTTTTAGTTACCATATGAACTATATGACGATATATATCACATATTATCATTAATGATATATTCACTTTTTAATCTGTAATTTAATAGAAATAATACAAGGAAATACTTGAGAAACCTGACGATATACTACGCGATATTATGTGAATTCTTTCTCGATATTTCCAGAATAAAAATGATCTTTTATCGAGTTATCAAAAAGTCGCCATATAATATTAATATATATTATTACAATTTGTAGTTTATTATAACTTACCATAAGCCGGCCATCCCAATGCTGGGGCGGCGTAGCCGTGAGCCGGGCCAGTCACCGTCGTGTATCCTGCGGCGCTACCAGAAACGACCGACGGTCCAGCTACCGCACCGGTGACAACAGCACCGCCATCGACAGCTCCGGAGAGACGTGCGGGTCCAACTACTGGCCCGGCGAGGGCTGATGGACCATTAGCAGGTCCGGTGAGGGTTGCCGGTCCCAGAATCGGGCCGGCTAACGCCGCACCATGGCCCAAGTAACCAGATGGTGCTGCGGTCGCCACTGACAGAGCCGCCACTAAGAGAATCGCGACCAGAGTACACATGATGAGCAGAAGGTTGCTGGAACGAGAAAATTTGCCTCGATGGCTGAGGTGGATGTGCTGTCACCGATTGGCGTCCGGCGTGCTTTTATAGGAACATTGTTCTCCCCGATCGGACTCAGAACTCAGTTGCTCCCGCCAACCCCAAGGGCGGGGCACAGGACACGCCAAACATTCTCTGCGGGCTGGGCATGCGGCGACGTTTTGCCGACTTATAGCCATTAAGTCAGTCACCGTGTAAGTGACACCAGAATGCCCCTAATGCCCTACCTCGTCGTGTCGGGTCTCAATGTGTGGCCCGAGGGTCACGTTGCTCCACTTCAACGCATCCGTCTATGTCTTGCGTGTTACATTCGTCGCCTCGATTTGTTGATATCGACAACACAGCGAGCGCGCGACCGATCTCAGATAGTTATCTTAGAATAATATTTATTTAAGCTAAAGTTCGCCGAAGCGTAGAACCAACGGGGCGATTTGTGCCGGAGACTTGATCGATGTTGCATCGAAGGTGCTGAGGAACGGGCGAGTTAGTAATTCCAAGGATGCAATTTTTATCCGACGACAATGCGTGCGTCCTATGGTCTGATTTTCGATCGCGAGAAGGGGATACTAAGAAAGGATCATTTGTCACGATACGTTCAAGCGCGTTCAATGTGTGACGTTGTCAAAGGTTTTGTAATACTCTTGCCATCGTGCGAAGCTTAAAGGATAAGATCACGGCTACTCATCACGAGCGTCCAGTCATCGATGACCTTGGGAATAGAGATGAGTCGCGTGTCGTATGTGTGTCTTCTTCCTGCTTTCTCTCGCCTTAGTTAGGTAGGCACGTGTCGCCATTAGAACGATTACGCGTTGCATTGTGCATCCGTTTAGGCGAGGCACGGGTTGCATTGCCCACGCGTCATCCGGACTTTGCAGATTGTCGCCAGGAATGAGAGGCCCATTGTTGTCGGATACGTCGGGTATGCGTGCACGTTCGTTACGACGGTATCACCAAGTTCGCAACAGATTGCAGACAGCGTCAGGGATTGTTTGCAGTGCCATTACCGGGCGTCATGCCTCGGACGCAAAGGTGACTATTGATTGAGCGGCGCGGCAACTTTTCCGTCGCTTTTCCCGCCATCATCTCGTCCATTGAATGAAGTCGAAAAACTGCATCCAATATGTTCGTGTAGCAAAAAAAAAACAGGAACAATAAGCATCGTTATCAACTTGGACATTTCGTTACGTTCCTTTCATTTCAATTTCTTCTCTTTTCATTGAGAAGAAACGCGTATTGTGCGCCCCACGTCTGATTACGACACAGATACGTAGTGATTTCACAAATTTTTGTCTTATCCTTTTTGCGTAAACAACACTTAACAACAATGTTTTTTTTCACGTAATTTAATCGTAATTTCTCATCACGAGAGTAGTGATGTATCTGATGTGAATAAATGTATTAATTATTTTAATAATGTTTGATATAATGGAATATTTAGATAATAAAATTTTGCTATATACAACGTTGTTTAGTGAGTCTTGTCTTTGATTTCGATTATAAATCAGTTCCCTTTCGATGTTTCATATCGATCATCAGTACATACACGGAATGTTTGCGCTTTTGCAAACCACCAACACCTGAGATAAAAGTGTGCGATACGCACGTGAGTGCTACGATAATATCACTGTGTTCTATTTACATGATACCTTTGTTGTATCATGCATTTATTAATTGAAGTACATTTACTCGCGCACCATGACTGGTATCGTATTGTTATTGTACGGAATAATTTGCAAACTAATCGTTGCCATTGCGTTCACGGTGATGTTACCGATGTGGTGTATGATTGTGTCTACTTATTCGTCAAAGCATATCGGAAATACGAACGGGCGAATTAGGTTTTTGGACTTTGCGCTCTGGTATTCTCCCTAAATAGATTTGCAGTTACAAAGCTTGGATCGTTACATAAAGGTATTATCGAAGTCGCTCACACAGACGTGCACAAACATACATTAATCGATTACCATCCGGCTAATGGTTCTGTCATGCCATCAGTGTCCGCAATGTTACGTTTTCATCAAAGTTATCGCCGCCATCGCTATAAATTTAAATTTACGCTGTAAATTTCTAGATCATCAATCACTGAGTACTGTCGAGTGAGTTCTGCTTCAAGTATCGTAGAATGTAATGGCTATCGCTCATTGGGAAGATTTTATCAAAGTGTACTGGACTCAGATTGATCGGTCGCGTGATCAAATTATACTGTACATCGCAATATATACCATTTCTCATCATTTATTACTCTCTTTTGAATTGTTATATCTTCTTTCTTCATGAATATATTAATGTAAAAATATTACGAAAATATTAATGTAAAAATAGATGAAAATATTACTACAGGACGATTTATTGAGACTCGATGCATGGTGCAGAAAAAATATTACTACAGGACGATTTATTGAGACTCGATACATGGTGCGCTTATATCTAAATGTTAAAACATGCTATGTTTACTTTAGCCCATTTCATTGTAATTATTATCTTGACTCTAACAACGGTATCAAATGTTCGCGATTTTTTTGGGAGTAATATTTAGTCTTTATCTTTAATTTATCTTTAAAATTATTGCATCTTAGTTCATCCGAAATTAAAACATTGCTCTATTGTTTGATCTCCTTAGTATAAACAGATTAATATGGTTGAGCGGGTACAACAAAAATTCTTGCGTTTTGCTAATTTTTGCTATAACATAGACAGTGTGTCATAGCAGGTCGTTTTTCGGCATTTATTAATTTCTTTAAAGAAAATTTAACTGCGTTCAAAACTGCTTGCATACGTACGATATCGAGGTTTCTTGTAAATTTTTTATTGCCTTATAACTTTTATTAATTCTGAGATGTTTTTATTTTTCTGATTGTTTTGCCTCTATTCGTCTGCAAATATTTATATTTTTTATGTATACTAAAGAGTATGCTTTTTCGTAATAAATAAAAATTATTATTATTAAAAATAATATTTTCGGGGATTCATTCTCGCGATAACACATACTTATGTGTATTTATCACCTCAGTAATATCACAATGATTGTCATTTACTGTTATTATGTAGTAACTGTTCTTTGTCGATTTATCTACACAACCTTCGCATGCCTCTTTCGTATGCCGGGACGGCAAATACCCCGTGGTCTATTATAGCATTGATTTACAGCGCCGCGTTCGAGTGTTCCTCCCTTCTATCTCTAGTCGCGCACTGGATCGCTATGGGTCGCCAATAAACCACGCAACGGAGGTGATAAAATCGTCTCCTTGAATCGGTCACCCCTACTCGTCTGGGCGCGGTTGGTGTTTCCAATTTGGTCCGAGGTTGTGTCGCCTTGAGCGGGCGTTTTCGACCCGATTGATTGAGCTTTCTTTCTTAACCTCGTCACGTGGGTCCAGCGGAGTGCCAGAGAAGCCCCGCCCTGATCCCGCCGCAAGTTCATCGTCCCACGTGGCCGTTATATCTCGGCTATAAAAGCTCACTTAGCATCAACTTGCATGGCAATGTTCCTCGGCGATGGCTGATGGAAAGTCGCTGCTGCAAATCGCAGCATCTACCGACGTCGACGGAGATATTCTCCGCGACGGTCAATCGGCGGGCGCGCGGCTTCGATGAAAAGGGAGCGAGAAGACACGATCCTCGGAGGGATCGATTTTGATCCTCCGGTGCGCGGCGAAGCGGCGATGGTTCCACGGTGTTTCCGGTCGGAACCTCCCGGTAAGGAAACTTCCGCACGATCGTTCAGCTCCGAGTGTTTACAATTCAGGTGAGTCATATTTGCACACCAAGTATACAAACTTGCTGCGGAAAGGTATAGTATACGGTAGAGATATTCGACGTGAATAGCTCGTGAAATTTGAAAAATATTCCACGTTTGGGGGGAGGAGATTTTATCGAGGCGATATACGCGTACTAACTCGCTGCTTCAATGCACATTAATGCTTCGATAGTTCCAGAGACAATTTCTTCTAGGGGAATTAATTGTTGTCGATGTAATTTTTATGCGCCGCAGCAGGGGATAATTCTAAAGTTTTCCGCGGAAATTTATTTGTTAATCTCGCGATCAACTATGAGTCGAAATTGACATATGATCATCTTAATTAACAAGTCAGTTGTAAATCTTATCACTTATCATCTTATCTTCGCACAACAATAATCGATGTCGCGCGTTCTCTCCTGAAGTTAATGCATTCTCTTTTTTGGTACTTCGTAGGCATCTGAAAGAGAAGTGCGCTGGTCGCGGATCTGCGTTCCGAAACTCACAGCCGTCGAAGGACCTATCGGTCGACCTTGCGCGATCTCTACGTCCGACATTAACGATCTGTTGCACACCCTACTTGCCTCATTAGCGGCCACGCCTCGCGCCGTTTTCGCATAGTCATATGTATAGTGCGGACCGGGGGAGAAAGAAAGGGAACAAGCTGGCCGGGAGAAAACAATCCGGCTTTCTTGCTTTATGTTCTCTCGAGATCGATCTCCAGGAATGCCACCGGCTATCCGGTAGCCGACGATCGGTCTCGGTCGTAACTCGGACCTCGCGACAAGACCAGTGATTTATGGCGACAACAAAGACGAATTCACACGCGCGACACGTCGTCTTCGAGACCCTTATAAATGCGTTTGCTGGGAAGCGCGGATACTACCATGGCGCGTTTTGTCAGAAACCGCTCGACATATAATCGATGCGATATGACGGCCTATCTAACTACGCGCAAATTGCACCAACTAGTTTGCTTACTTTGCTCGATAGTGTCGACTTTGTGTGACGTGACTCCGAATTCGTAACACTCAATAGTAAGTTTGTATTGCATGTAAATTTGTGAACACCACATTCTGTCCTAATTAGATTCAATTGCAGAGTCGCTTCTCCTGGTGACATTCGCCTTAATGCTTGAAATGTATTTTTCACGATACATATATAAACACATGTCGCGATGTCGCACGATAACAAGACATAAAGCATGTAGTAGTATTTTACATTAAAAATAATTAGTATTTCACTAGAACTGATACCGACTGGTCTTTTTCATCAAAAAATGTAGTAGCGGGACGTTTTTGGTAGTTAGTAATTCACTAGTAATTAGTACTTCACTAGAGAATTAATATCGAACAATATTTTAATTAAATCGTAATTGTTTTTGTGGAAAGGTTATTTAATTATTTGAGCGATCTTTGAAAGACAAATTCTGCAAAATTTAGAAGTTATTCTCAGAGAGACGGATGTTGTGAAAGATATATTATTACTTTCTTATTAATTAATTTCTCATCATAAAAATCCAGATACACATTTAACATCGTCTATCAAATGCAAAATATATCGTAATACGTGTAAGTTGTGTACTACATTAAAATGAGGCGAAGCCGGTGGTATCTCAGCTATATTATGTAAAAACCTATCTACCTCATTAATTATTACGTACATATAGTTACCTATTGTATGTTGCTTTATTTTACATTCAAGCTAAAAGTAGCGTTTAATTTTGTTACATTTCACATATACGATCGAATAACATATTCATTTTACCATTACGTTTTATGTTATTAAGTTACAATGTATTTGAAAATACACAAATGCGTGTAATTATAAAGATATAAAATACGAGTCAAGTTTCCGAGCCAATAAAGTATTAATTCAGTTGATGGAACAAAATCATGTTACTCCTAATTTGAAACATTTCACCTGCATGATCATCCTATAGATGCCCTCCATATATTTTCTTTTACATACACATACACACAAATGCATATGTACACATATCTAACACGTGTGTAGTTTAAGTTTCATTTGCACGGGAAAAGTGAGAACTTTCATGCTATTTTCTGTGCGCAACGCAATAATCCTCTCGAACTAATGAAATATCAGTTTTGTAATCGTGCAGTAATATGTATTGCATAATATCGTGTTTACGCGAACCTTTAGTGGCTCAAGTGCAAGAGTTGGAACAGTACTTTCCCACGATTATATTAAAACACGCGCCAACTTACCGACTGCGAATGCGCGACGCGGCGCAGTTGTTATGACAATGCACGTTAATTTCACGCGATCGATTAGCGTCCGCCACCGTCGACGCATAACAATTAACATCCAGTCTCGTGACAATGCGCGTCCGTCGTGAAAACGACTCGACGAGACGGCCTGTTGCTCGACCCATTTCTTATTCTGCACGCTCGCTACGGTGGGCGGCCGATTACAAGTGGGTGACCTTTCGGAATTTGTGGGGGTTCGGTGCATTCTCACAATGCAGCCACCGGCGCGATGATGAAACGCGAGATTACGTAGTCGCGTCGCCGCGACTCTCGTGGCTCAGGCCACGATTTTCCCATAAGGCTAAGGCCACGCGCTTCAGCGCCGTCGCTCGATATTCGTCCGGGAAGTGTGCCCGCTGCGTGAATAAAGCACGGCGGGATGTATCATTTTCCGATAGTGATTTGTTGCAAAAAATCGACGAAAACACGGAGACATGCAAATCCGAGATTAAACACCCGCGTGACGGTCCGGTGATTGTAAATCGCGCGATAAATTACATACTCGCTTAATAGATATCGTAAATCGCGTTTTATACTCGGCTTCGCGCAAATCCTGTATAAATTGCTCGCGCTAGACGCGCCAACGCTTAAATTTATGTCGACGGATATCTTCTTTGTGGTCGGCTTTTCATCCGAAATTCATGGTCAGATCTCGCTCATGCGAAAGTGTTATGCTTGGATTATACGGTCATGTATATACGTTATTATAATATGCAATCTTAATCTTATGCGTATAACCTTAATCGGCGCAAAGAGATGTTCATCGTCACGAATACTAACATGCTGACATATTCAGGTACGTACCTGATGCGCGATCTTCTAAGCTATAATTTGGTTTTTTACTGTCAATCAAATACTCGACTTATATTTCGCTCATCACACTGAGCCCTGAAACACGACATCGCAGGATTGTGAGCTTACATTAACATATTTCACAGACAGTTTCGTTGCCTATGTATAATTCTCACTGACCATGGCTCGTCATGTTTAGCTCACGAGTCACGGGCCACGTCCGCCGTAAACCACGCTCGTGACGACCTTACCCTTTGCTTTAACGAGCGTTACGTATCGCAATAAGGCACGTGTTCACGTCCGATCCATGCAAGACCTGCCAGCTCCTTGCATTTAGCGAGCATAGCCTACGAGCACCGCGAGTGATCCGTATCGAGTGGTACGAATCGATCCGCCGACAATGATCAACGATCAATCCGGCGGAACGCTACACGGTGCAAAACGAGCACCCGTTTCTACTGCTGTAACGAAGCAACGTTACTCCATACTTCATGCTACTATTTCCATATTTTTTACGCGAGGAAACTGTAGATAACGAGGCGCGATGAGACGAGCGAGTTTCGGATTTCGCACGATGACTAAACGAATAATTGGTCGGGAAAGAATTAATCACGAGCAAAGAGATCGGCGAAGAGAGGATTTCTACACGTAACAGCGATTGGTGTCAGATATATGTTTATTGTGTTAAGATTCAAATAAAATAAAGTTGGATCGGTGCAACGAGCGTCAGAATGCGGAGCTCAAGATGAATATTAAAGCGTATGCATGATCTTATCTTCTTTCATAGCATAACTTACTAACTATATTTCGGCCCTACGAAAGTACGAGCACGAATTCTCCGTGCGCGAAGTTAGCTTGCAATTTCGTGCCGCATACTTTCCGCGCCGAGAAACTCGAGCGGCAATGATTCGCTTAAGCGGCAAACAATTATTCAGAATTTTACTCCACCCGACACGATCGCGCCGCTGTTACCTTTGTAATCGTTGCTTTCATCATGGATAATTCGAGACCGCGCCGATAATCGTCGGGTTAGTGCTAGCGGGTAATTAGCCGTTGCTATCGCAATTCGCGTAATTGATTCACAATTCAGTGCGCAGAAAAGGATTCGACACGACGTTGCGCAGGAGAATTTCGGAAGAGTTAATCGAGAGGCAATCCTCTCCCGCGGTGGTGCATACTCGCGGACTCGAACGAATGCGCTTTCAAAACTCGTGGACAATTTGCCCTCTAGAGCGCACAAGAATACAATATAGCACACACTCACGACGCAAGATGTGCGCGAATTCGATGTACACGAAAGATCAAAATCGGCCGTGATATGCCAAGTGAAACGTGTGATATGTTACTCCCGAGCATTTTACATTGCGTACATAGCTCCGCTCGAAGAAATTTATTCCATTTGTACAGAGAACATGCATAAGTATTCACGCGCGCGAAACGAGAGTATCAAGTGTGACGAGCGTCGTCGTGCGAGGGAGGCATACGGTAACTTCACGTCTCTACCTTTACATTATCTGTCTAAAAGGAAAGAAAAAAAAAGGAAGAAACGCGCCGAAGGGGAGCGGTATCCTTTTAGTGATTTAATGACCTTTCTTTTCGCTTTTCACAGACGATCATACGCGCGTTACCAGTGGCCGTGACCGTGGCCGAATCCGGCGTGGACGGCAGCACCGTAACCGCTTCCGTGAGCCGTGATCTTTCCGGAAGGACCAGCAATCACGACTGAACCGGCGTGCGGTCCAGAAACAGCCGCGCTTCCGGCGTGAGGTCCGGCCAGAACCGCTCCGTGGGTAGCTGGCCCGGCTACAACTACTCCGTGCCCTCCGTGTCCTCCGTGACCACCGGCGTAACCGAAGCTTGGACCGGCATAACCTCCGTAGCCTCCTCCGTAGCCTCCTCCGTAGCCTCCTCCGTAGCCTCCTCCGTAGCCTCCTCCGTAGTCCCCTCCATAGTGCCCTGCGCATAATGAAAAAGAAATTAGAAGTGAAGGAACCGTTAGGTGAGTCTATTTTCTCATTTAAATAATATATTTGCAAGTGTACGTAGAAAGATAAATGTTAGTGAACACATTTTTACGTGTGAACAGTAAAATTTATACAGATTTACATAAAACATTTATACGGATGTTTTTTTTTTACGAAATTCTTAATTAATTTCCACTTTTATATATAATATAATTCAGTATAATATTGTACAACGCGAGAAAACTCCGTAAAGATAATTTAAGAAATTATTTAATATATTATCACGCAGTGTGTGTGTATGAAGAAAGAGATGCATAGTTTTGAAAGCATAGATGCATAGTTCAATCTTAGATTAGAATACTGATTTCTTTCTTTAAGCCAATCCTCATGGAACGGAAATTATTTCATTATTTATGCATTATACACATCTCGTTGGATAATTCTATAAACCGTTTTATAATTACTCACCGCCATAATCGCCACCTCCGTAGCCACCGTCGTATGGGCCGCCTTCAACATGCGCTGGACCGGCGACCGACGCAGTCACGACAGCTGGGCCAGCAACAGCACCCGAAACGTGAGCAGGTCCGGCGACGGATCCGGCCAAACGGGACGGACCTATCGATGGACCGGAAACAGTAGAAGCACCCACATGCGGACCCGCAACGCTCGTCGGTCCCAACACTGGACCAGCGAGGGCCACCCCGTGTCCACCGCCGTAGCCTCCGCCTACGCCTCCGTAAGCTCCATAAGCTCCATGCGCACCGTAACCTCCGTGCGCACCGTAAGCTCCATGCCCACCATAAAGTCCATGACCGCCATAGACAGCTTCTCGTCGTTCGCGAGGTGCGGCGGCCGCAATGGCGCACAAAGCAAACGAGATGAACTGGAGTGAAAAGATCGCAATTTGAGGTGAGACATTTTCTCAGCTGATGGAATTTGGAGCTTTATCCGACGGTATTTGAAAAGTGAAGTTTTCCCCGGGAAGGAATGTCTCGCGATATTCGAGTCGTGAACGTTATGCGTGATGTGAACTAGCGAGTAATTACAGAACTCGCGCGCAATTTCATTTCTCAATTGTCACTATATGCCTGATCTTCCAACGGAAATGGCGCGCTACACACTAAAGTCTACTCGCAACGCTTTTGTCACTTTACCCCGCTCTATCAGCTCGCTAATAGAACAGCGACCCGACTGTCACGTCGATTGTTCGGCTAACAAAAGAAAGAAAGGTAGGAGCGCGCACTTCCGACCGGCGAGACGAATACTTACGAGGGTCTTCATCGTGCCGACCGGCGATTGCTCGAATGTGCCTACAGCCGACTTCGGCGGACTTTATATACGTCTCTAGGATCTCCGACCGCGCCCCCGCTGATCCCTTCAAATCATATCCGTTGACGATGTAGTCTCTCGTTCATTGTGTAAGAAGGTCACTATCCGACACACCCACCCTTTGGACATGGACCCCTTGCGCGACCTTCGCCAGGAACTCCTAGCTAAGAAATTTCAGAATCAACCTCCTTTGTTTGAACCATACGTTTCGACTTGCAGACTAACGTCAGATACGTAATTGCGGATCTAAATATATCATTTCTAAATAGACATTTTTAAATTGTATTTAGGACATGTCTTTCGCGCGCATGCTGATTTTATTATTTAATAATAAACGAATGTAACGCTAAAAATTTTTTAAATTAATTCTGTAGAACAGAACACTCGAGAAGGCGCACCTAATTGTCTTGGATAAACTTAATTATCTCAGTTACTTTGAAAGAAAAAACACAGAAGGTTTCTATTATCTTTTTCTGCGAAAGTTTTCGCAGTGGCTTTTTTCAGTCTTTTCGTCTTGGAAAGTTTCGATGCCAAGCAAGCCAAGCAAGCGATGTCAGAGCAAGCATTTGACTTTAGGACAAGACCTCGTACTTTTTTACTGCAATTGCAATTTTTTTATGGTCGCGTATATGCAATTGTTACGATATACGTGTGACCCAGTTTGTCCTTTCGAGTCATGCTCGTCTGCAATGGAATCTTGTGCGTTGTGTAAGATCAGCGTTTGTGACACACCCACCCTCGGTCCCGTCGCGACTCGTCGAGCGACTTCCACGGACGAATCCCTGGGAAAAAGTTAAAATAAGTTTATCTGTTACGTTGGGGCTCGAAAAATTATCTCTCGCGTAAAGTTCGTCTCGTCTACAGATTTTCATCTCTATGGATGTAACTGGTGGCACAAGTTAGTTTCCAGAAGACTTCAAATATCATATATCAAGTTTTCATAAATAAATTACTCGATTAACTTATATTTTATTTATATTTTACGTATCACGTTTCGAAGATAAAATTTATAGACAGATTATCATGTGATTCTTCATTATTTTTTATTTGGGGGGAGGGAAGATAACGACGTGAAAAAAACGCAATTATTTTCTAACATTTTTTCTTAATAAAATATATTTTATATATTTTATAAGTTAATAATCTTTCCATACGTTTTTATTTATTTTTATGGATTGTGTTTCTTAGACACAACAGATATATATCAATAGTTATATATCCAATATAATAACATCGCATTAAATATATATAATTATATTACATTAAAAATGACTCACTGTGGAGCGGTAATTACATACATTAATTTACCCCCGTTCCACGGCATTCGTGCGTTGCATAATCGCGTCGTTGAGAACAAAGATACGCCTTACACCATCTCTTGCAACAAATCGCTTTCAATCACAGAAAGTGAGTAATTCTCATCGAATCGGGAATAATAAACTTCTTTGAGGAGCCCGGCTACTTGGATTTTGAATTCTGAATTGCGTGACCACCGGCGATTGAGTCATTCGGGAGAAGGGCAATCGAGCCTATAATCCCGAAGATCACAGGTCGTACACGGGATATCTTGAAAAAACTAGTCGGTACCTCCCTCGTGGTAAAAATAGAAATTCCTATGCATAATGATGACTAGTGCCGTCGGAATCAACCGAATGTAAACATAACAAGATATAGAGAGCTGAGATTTACGTATGCGCGTATATGTGATGCATGTGCAATTATCTTAAATATTCAGATAACGTAATATGATTTACATTATTACATCTGCAGAATTTCAGGCAACGTCGAGAAACACATTCAATTACAAGCGCTAATCTAACGGCGTTTATTGTGAGAATATGACATATTATAAGATCATAGGTCACCATATAGGCGTTAAATACACATAATCGATCAGTGATGGTGCATATCGTAATATATTGTTCCTTGTGTTGGCGTGTAGTGCCAACTACACGTCAAATTCACGAGCGAGTTCGTTGTATAGAACTAGAATTCCGTAGGATAAAAAGTTTATAAAATCGCTAATTGTGCAACGAATTTACTGAATATTTTTTAATGATCCGAGATCGTCTCAAGTTTTATCTTTCAACTGAAGTTAAGGGAATGAACTTGTACTTGAAAACTTTAGTAACAAAATACTGACTTCCCTTCTGGAAAGTTTACGTCGTATTAGTTATGCAGAAAGTATGAATAAAAATTAATTAGAGTGTTGCTTAATATGTGACAAAAATGATAGAAAATTTCAAAATTGATATTTCAAACTGTCAGATAGCTTAAAAATAAACTTGATACAAAAGTTTTATAGTTCGTATATACCAAACGCACATTTTCTTCGCATAGAAAAATTCCAGAGCTTTGTTGAATTTATAAGAATTAAGAGAAGTATACAAATATATGAGAAGTTTGCAGAGAGATTTTTATATGTGCGTGGTGTTATACTTTTCTCTAAATATATAAAAAACAGAGCAGTACACATTTATACAAAATCTATATGTATAAGAATTATTTAAAAAAAATAGTGTGATTACGTCAGTGCTGATATTATCTAATATTATATTTTGACGATTGCCTCAACATTGTCGATTTTTTTCGAATTCGTCATCCACTTTGGATTCCGTTTTGGATTATATTTTGGATTTCCTTTACTGTTTAATAATGCCTTGTATGTCGCACAATATTGCACCTCTTACTGTGAAGAAATAATTATTTAAAGTAAATATTTAAAGTTCGATATAATGCATAACGTTCTCATAAATGAATGCAGCTGTTTGTCGTATGACGAAGTTCTAGGTTGCAATTTATGCGGCTTGCAAGGTGAATCGACGCAGACGTCGAGACCACGCTGGCTGAGAAAGAGCCGAGTTCTCAGGAATTAATGTGCTTTTCAGTGTGATATATAACCGATGAGGTAAACCGACATCTCGCATTCGACCTTTACGGGCACGATGAAAGCTGCGATCTTAAATGCTCCAATTCCGCGCGAATATTACGTTTCTAATGATAATATCGAGATAACATGAGAATTTCTATACATGAACTTGTCGTAGAAAAATATATTTTAAACACAAAATTTTTTTTATTTTACACGGTCTTATTTTAATATTATTTTTATACAAGTATACTTATTCTTCAATAATATTCATACACGTTATTAATTGTGTGTTACGTGCAACATAAAATAAATTTATTTAAAGGATTTCTTGTACAATTTTCAAATATTATTATTTCTTTCTTTGAATTTGCAATTATTCAAATTACTCTTACAGTCAAATTAAGAAAATAGAATTGTCCTTTTTTAAAGAAATCGCAGCAACTCGCTGCGAAATTAAAATCACACATGGATAAATCCTCCAAGTTCGCATGAAAAGACACGTGTGTTCGTTAGAAGAAGAGAATGAATGCCCTGGTGGACGAATAGAGGGTAAAGGTGCGCGCATCCGTGAAAGAAATCGGAAATTCGACCTTTAAGTGTAATCAATTCTGTTTTACTTGCATTAAAGTGCTACGTGTTTGTAAATGCTTCGCGAAGCGTTACAACTTTATCCGCGGCATCACGTTCTGAAAATTCGTACCTACGTGAAGCGATTGAAGGAGGAACGGTTGCCCCGGCGCGATTGAGCGTGATCAATGCTAATGGTGAGACTGACATTTGCAGTCATTGTCTACGGCGCAGCACAGATGCAATGCATCGCGATGTTTATGGGAGCATGCAATCTACTCGGCGCTCTGTGTGAGACTATGGGAAGTGTAAGATGTTGTCGCAAAGTTTCTTAAAAACAAAAAAGAGGATGTTATCAATTACAAAAATTGCGAAAATTTTTTCATTACGCAAAGTATTCGTAAATTTCATGACACGCGAAAGGAATGTTCTATTCCGCAAAAGTTTGGTGTTTCAAAAAACTGTGTTTCACTTTTGAAAAAAAACAACTTATTTATTACCATAATCTCCGTAACTCGCGTGCGCGTGTTTTGTTAACACGATATACATCCGCAGAGGCTATGAGATATCTAGCTAAATCTCCTATGAGCGCGAGGTAACCTTGACCGTAAAAATGGAACAATCTTATACCAATAACCTCATCAATAAATTCTTCTAGGAACTTGTGCAGTAATCGCACACCCCCGAGAGTGAAAGGACCGTGCCTCTCCATATCCGGCATTCTGATAGGCTTCCATCTCTACTAATTATTCCCTGGCGGGTATTACGAAAGGTATGACTTCCATGACACAACTTACGACTTTTCGCAAGAATATCTTAATATTGCTTGTGCCTCAGTTCTTTATGTTTCCACGTAAGCATGTAGAATTTCATAGAACGTAATCCGTAAGCTGGCCCTTGGTTTTATGCCCCTCACATTTGAGAAAAATATTTACACATATAGATATAGAACCATTTTTCAAAATATCTTTTCTGATGAATCCCAATCTTCCTTGATAAAGTACATATTATTTATAATAAGATAATATTAGAGAAAGATTATTTTTTATCAAGTCGTTGTGATTTATTTTCATACATATATGTGGCTTAGTTTTTTACGACTTTGCTACCCGTTTGCAACTCCGTTGGAATCATTGAACAGTATACATTAATAATTATATTAATAAACAAAAACTTTACGCGGAGCAGCTATACCAAAATTGTCTCAATAAGGTAAATGTGATTAATTTTTAAAAAGAACGTACTCCGCCGGCAAGAAAATATTTTAGTAAGGCAAAATATTATTTCTATTTTCAAAATAACAACGCCACAGATTTGTTGCTCCGTTCAATCTTTATATTCATGAATTGACATTGTTAAACGTCGAAACGCGGACTCATTAAATGGACGCATCGATGAACGGTTTCGAGTCGTGTCGATAGAAATTGCACTGGTGTTCGTAATTAATTCTATTTCCAGATGTCACGTAGAGCGATAAGTTAGAAAAGGCTTTCAAGAAAGAATAGAGATCAGCAAAAATAAAGATTATAATACTATTTGAAACTCACGACATTCTATTCTTGAATTTTATATACGGATATCTCCCCACCCTCTATTGAAAGGCTAAAGTGTTTCAAGAAAATATGACTTTTTCGGGTGCTAGAGAGCCGGAGAATCGGCGGAACGTACTATTTCTGTTTCGTGGAAAAGTAGTAAAGAGTGGGAATGGGTCGAAATAAAAAAGAGACACGAGCATCCACGTTTCATGTTCTCTGCCACATCAGTCAATGCTCCTGCTGTCGAAGAGGTTCCATTCGCCCGGGAGCTTAACACACATCTATAGCTTTTTATTTTATTTGTGGTCCGTTGCAGAAACGTAAAAGCACCGTCCACTGTGCTCAGCGTACTCAGTGTGCTCAGCGGGAAAGATTTACAACCCTTTTATAGACACTCGAGAGAGAATCTGCGACAAATCCGACAAAGCACACTTGGTTTCTTGATATGCAAAGTACGATAAAATGCATGAATGTTCACGATACACTGCGATCAAAACAGAAATCCCTTTACATGCATAAAAACAAATCTCTATTCCTTCTCCTGTTTCGTCCTTATCATGTTCTAATTATCACATTTATCTCACAAAAGATACCTGTACTTAAAGGGATATTATCCGTTTTCGATACGGGAGACCAACGCGGATCTCTTTGCGATTAAATTTTATGTAATTAACATTGTTACAGTACCCGTATATCAAAGCTAATCGTCCACGATTCGCTGGTAACAATCTATCGAAATAACGAAGCTTATGTTACAGTATTTGTACACTCAACTATATAATTTAACAAGCAGATATTTTACACAAAATTGTAATAACATCGGAGAAAATATAATAATATGTAATTTCATCCACACATTTTACGCTCTTGTCTGCAAAAAATAAAAAAATCGTCGCGCGGCCAATATATCTATCATTGACGAATATTTTTATGTACGTTCACATTTTGTATATGTTTATAAATTCTTCGATTGTATATTAACAACTAGTGCTTTTCGCTTAACATATAATTTGGAACATTATAAACTTAAGTAGATATTATTAACTAGGTTATATATTTTCTGTGCGTATAATAATTTTACATGGAATAGTACGCTTGATCCTCTTCAATATTCTGAAAAAAATAAAATTATTAATACATTCATAATCAAGCATAATTGTAACAATAAAATTCTTTAGATATTATATTATATTGAGAAATACTTAGGATCAATATTGTTCGATCTTTCTTGATTGATTATACTCTATATAAAACGTGAAAAATTATTTTGCTCGCGTATTAATTAGAAATGTGATACTTACAATTATTGAAGTCTTCTATTCCTCGAAAATTTGTATTGGATGATCGAAAACGTCAAATTTAAAATATAGGATTGACATATTAGTTCCATTTTAAAAATATTATACGCAAAAATATTATATTTATGATTTATGGTGCTAAGCGCAGGGGAAATTGGTTTAATGAAGACGATTAAGTGATTGATTGTGGCACGTGATATTTTTTCTCTGTTCTTTCTACTCTTCTTTCTTCTTTCTCTCTTCTTCTTTTTTGTCGACAATGATTAATGCAGTTGCTTGATATTGGTTCCCGTTATTATTCCTTTCCTCGTGGTCCAATATTTCGAATTAATCCATTTGATCGGCCCGCAAACTGATATCCAATAAGTTAGGTACATTAGACAGATGATCGTGTTAGCTGAATATTAACTTTCATAAATTCTAGCGTAATTCATGTGCATTCTATATGATTGAGATATAAATACTTACAAATCACTAATCTTTAACGTTCACTAAAATTGTTATCGACATTGCAATGGCAAGGGCTACAGCAATATCTGTGTATTTTTAATGATTAGCAGATTTCATCTGCTTATGTCTATATGTCTATATTTTCAGACTTGTGAGAATCGACAAAATTAACAGAGATATTGGAATACGAATTAGCGGAATATTACTTTTTTGCTGCAACGTTTGCCAACGCTCAGTAGCAAATAAACTGTTTATTCTGCTTTCTAATATTTTACTAGCAAATGAGTGGCGCGGTCTTTAAGATCGAGAGAAAATACACTGAGATTTAGACGAAAGAGCGAAAGCAGCAAGGTACGAATAGACAAGAGTGAATTTTTTAAATACTGATGCTTTATTTTATATAAAGTATTGTATAAATGTATAAACGGCTCTCTATATATAAATATGTGGTATCTATCTATGGTGGTGGTGGGGTGCTAGTCGTGATCGCAAAGAAAGGGTATGACGAGGGCGGGCGGGGTCGGGGGCCGGCGGCGGCGCGCCGTCTATGTACATTCATTCACTCACGAGAAAGGCTGACCTACCATAATCTACCGGTCTCTCCTTTTCACTAACATATAACACGATTATATAATATATGTGTATTTGTGTGTATATATACGAGTACACATATAGCAATATAGTGTGTGTGTGTGTGCGCGCGTGTGGCAATGTGTTCATATATATATATATGCGCGAAGGTAATAGTAATAGTATGTATACATATATATATAAAAAGAAGACATATGCGCATGGACGAGTATGTAATAATAATATGTATGCTTGGGTGCGGCGGTAAGTATAACAACATGTGGGAAGGGCGCGACGCGCCCTGACCCATGGAAAAAGAGAGAAATAGTAATATGTGTGTGAAGAGCGGCGGCCTTACGGATGGTGGAAGACGTAAGAGAAGAAGGTTTAGCCGGAACAACGGTAGGTGTTCAGAAAACAGAACAGATCCAGTTGGTCCGACGAGACGAAGTACCAAAGCTTGTCCACTGGCTAGGCCCATGACGGTGCAGCGTGTGCGTGACGCCTTCGCGGGTGTGCACGGGTGACGTTACGACTCGGAGAGTGCGCGGTGGGTGTCGTATCGTGGTCCGAGAGACGCGACATTCTCGCCGATCGCGGGCGAAAGCGCGTCGGGAAGCGACGAGGTGTTTGAGACGACCCCGGAAGGTCGTCAACCGAGATCGGCAATCGCGACTCGAGTCGATTTCCCTCTATCGGTCGGTCGATGAACGGAAATTGACTAAATTTTACCCAAGTCGCCCGACTGTAACGGACACCCGGGTCGATAACGAGGAGAAAACGACGCCAAGTCGCGGATCACGAATGGCCCGTACCTCGGTGTCGCGTCCCCGACGATCTTATCAGACCCGACAGGACGCGTCCGTCTTTCGGTTCGCGCTTCTTCGGCTCGCGGTGTCCATACGTACGACCGATCGAGCGTTTATTCCGAGCGTCTACTGATCATATCACTAGCGCCAGGCGGCCCGACCATGTTCCGAGACTGGACGAAGCTTTGGGAAGAAGACGTTGAGCGCGTTTGAGGATCGTTTGAGACCGGTAAGTGACTGTGGTGGGTTTGCCGCCGTCGCCGAGCCGAGATCGCTGGGGTCTTAAAACGTCTACCACTTGCCAACGGGCGCGGGGATGACAGCTCCGTGAGCGCCGAGTCCGGCGTGGATGGCGCCAGACGGTCCGTTGATCACAGCAACTCCGGCATCACCGCCACCGAGGGCACCACCGAATCCACCACCACCACCGCCGATGACAGCGATGGCACCAGCGCCACCTCCGAAACCACCTCCGAATCCACCTCCGAGACCACCTCCGAGACCACCTGTTGGAGAAGGTAGACCATTAATGACCGCGTTAGGATATTTGTGCCGAGTACATTTAACAGAGCCAATTGTCTCAGCTGAATCAGCTTTGCGTGTCACTGATTCATCTGATCGGCGGGAACGTACCACCGGGCGCGGCAGCTCCAGCAGCTCCAGAGCTTCCATCATCACCGTTAACATTGCCAGCACCAGCGTAGAAGGCAACACCTCCGTAGCTAGGTCCAACGAGGTTAGCGGTAGCCTGGGAAGGTCCAACAAGGGTGGCGGTTCCCTGAGACGGTCCAACAAGGGTGGATGGGCCAGCAGCGGGTCCTACAAGGCTGGCCGGTCCAGTGCGAGGTCCACCAACGGACTTGGCGCCTTCCTGGGGTCCAACAAGATCAGACGGTCCAGTCTGGGGTCCAACGTTGGCCTTGGGTCCCTCAGCGGGTCCGATGTCAGACCTGCCACCATAGACTCCTGCGGGCAGAGCGAGCGATTAGCGAGTGGCCCCATCGCGAAACTCATCGTGGTGATATTTCACCGGAATGGAACGCAGTTACGCACCACCGGAGACGATCTGCTGAACTCCAGCAGCGCCAGCCGCCGCCGCAGCACCAGCAGCATAGCTGGCACCAAGACCACCAGATCCCAAGCTGGAGGCACCACCCTGGAGGGAGGCAGCGGTTCCAGCGCCAGCGGCGAGTCCACCGCTCAGACCATGTCCACCGTTGATTCCGTGTCCAGTGATGGCCAAACCGTGACCACCATAACCACCATAGTGGCCGCCATATCCACCGGCGATACCGGCACGAGCCGTCGCCACCGCTAAGCAGGCGAACACAATCTGGAAGAGACGATCGAATTAAACCGACTGCCGCGAGTTCGCGAAACAGCGCGGAACGGCTGCTCTCGGGGATGAACGGCTGAAACGGCACGTTCAACACCCAGGCCGACGAGTTGCGTGAGCTCGCGCTAGTTGGTTTACGGAAGCATTGCGTGCGCCTCGGCGAGCTATCGCTGTTACGGATCTGGATTTCCATTGGCTTGGCGCCGATTACGGCCTGACTACCGCGATGCCCGGGCAACATAACCGCGGCTTTCACTTTCGATTTCCGCGAACGCCGGCTCGATCGCGAGAACTCCAAAACAACGGAAATATCTCGCGTGAGGGAAGTTTCTAGATCCTCCGAGATGATCTCATCAGTTCGTGCCCCGCGATTGCCCCGCGATGGAAAAGTCTCGTCGGGACGAGATTCGCGCGATCGTCCGTAACTATTCGCCGTAACGTTTCGCAATCAGCGCGCTGATCTCCCTCCTCTCGGACACCCTGGTCACTCCACTCCTAATGACCATATTAGGAGAAGAAACTCTTCCAGGGTACCCGCTTTTAATAGGCCAGTGCGTGCTCCTAAGTTGCAATGCGTATCGTCGAACCGCAGAAAAAGTAGTTGCCCGCTCGCTTGCCCGCGATTGCATAAAATCCGCGCGAACGAGTTATTGCCGATCGCGCTGTAACGCGCGGTGTTGCACGAGATTCATAATTAATCGGCTGCTGATCGCGCGTGTTTGTGACTCGAGAAGTGAGCTGGAGACAACCGAATTTCGTTGGAAACTTCGTGAAAATTGATTTTCCCAACGCGAGCACATTGATTGAAAGAATTGGCGGATCAAGGAATATCCCGTAAAGCGCGGAATCAGAGTCGGATCGAACGTATCGGCGCGTTACGTCACGTCCCGCGATAGGCACGTTCGTGGTCGTAACGCCTGCAGCTCGTAATATGGGAAGTGGCGTTTAGAAAGGAAGTGTTTCATGCGGCCGTAGACCCGAGCAATCGGCTGATTAGGTGTATCGACGCCGTGCTGCGCCGGTGCCGACGTAACCGGTTATTTTTCGTTTGCATGCGAATGGTATTAGTAGACGGTCTCGCGGTGCATGTGTCACGCCCGACTCGAGACGTTGCGAGCCTAAATGGCACCGCGGCCTGGAATTATGCATATCTAACGACTTCGCGAAACTTTCACATCCCGTTTACGCGGAACGAACGAATGAACGTACCGACTATCTCGCGGCCGCGCTCTCGTGTGACGTGGTCGACCGCGCGTTCCCGCGACCTCGCGATCGGAAAAGGATCGATCGTGTCGATTTCAAAATCGCGATCCGCGGCGCGGCTCTCTATTTCCGTCGAGCGCGCGGCATTTGCGAAGGCATGGCTGGGCGCTCTTTCTCTTTCGTAACAAGGGACATATTGTTATTCGCGGATTATTGGCGATATTCGCGATATTCGCGGCGTTGGAAAGTCCGAGTCAAGACCGTTACGCTTTCAGGATGAGCAAGATGGAATAACGGCGTGTCCGTACGCGGAGATATATGTGAAGACAAACGATAGCGAAAGTCGAGGAATGCAATGATAGAGTGCGTGCGGCGTTCAAACGCGCTCGAGGAAGCCGTGAATGAAGATGCGTCGGGAGTAGAACCGGTCGCGAGTTACTCCGTTTACTCAATGACGATGATGATACTACCACAACCGGTTCCCGGTCGGCGCACGATGTGCGCTGAGATTTCTCGCTTTATGAATGAAAGTCGTAAGGAGGACAGTGCCAGTTCGTCTGTTTGTGCGTCTGTCTGTCTGTCTGTCTGCCTGCTCGCCTGCCCGCCCGTCAGGAAAAACAGTGAGAGTACCTCCTCAGCCGTGACATTGAATAATCATCGCGGATACAGTAAGAAGCGAAGAAAGGCAACGGTACAATGGAGACATTACGGCGACAGCACGCCATCGACGTGAATCGAAAGCTCTCGGGCTTGCAAAATGTTCGCGTTTGTCTCTCGCTTGCAGATATAATCCCGTGTAATCTAAATGTAATCTTGCATTAAGCGCGTTTCTTGTTTAGTTTCAATTAAGAAGCGTCAGAACGGAACGTTTGAGAGAAGAACGTTCGCGGAAGTAAAGTTGCGCGGCGGCTGCGAGAGAAAGACGAGAAACTTGCGAACAATATCGTTAAAGACTCGGAGCAATTTCGAGATAGTTGAAAGTCTTAGAGCGCGGAGCGACACTGTTTGCTCGCGGCGACGATTACGACCGAGTCAAAGGCAACGAGGAAGACAAGTGTCTGCGCGATCACAAGAGGCTAGAATGATTCTCAGGAGAGACGCGTGATGACTCTGAGACAGACGAGAAGTCGCGTTTTAGAACGACAGAATCGCGACGAGAGAGATCTGTGCGAGCAATAATCGAATAGAGTCCGATCGCAAAGCCGGAAAGCGCCGGATATACCACGAGAGAGCGGTGGCTCGACACCTCGTGAACACCTCACCAACCCCGTGTGGAATACTCACAAAGGCCTTCATGTTTGGTGTGTGTATTGTGGGCTGGTAGTCCGGTGAATGACTGACTTGGGCCGGGCCGGCGGGCCTTATATACGCCTAACTCTACTCTGGACACGCTCCACAATCACCATCCTTTCGAAAGCAAGGCGCTCCACCACCCTCCCCCCAGAAAAACTATAATCCACGGCGTACCGAGCGCTCGACGCGGTAGTCCCACCACCCGTTTGAGGGCGAAGGGGGGTCCCCCCTTTACGGCCGATAGAGGTTGCCGTTGTAGATTGCTCGTGAGTATTCGTCGGCTATGTCCACGTCTAATGGCCGAGAGAGCAGCCTCCTACTCCTCCCGCCCCACCAGCATGTGGCCTACACGCTCGACTTCTATGCGACGGGCCACACCAAGTGCAACCGAGCACCACCCGGGTTACCTGGTCACCTATGATATTACTCTCTCGCAGGCGTGGTGCATAGCATGCACGAGCACCGTGCACGGTTCACCTGGCTGACGCTATAGCGTTAGGCGCGATCGGACTCCTTCCCGGTCACGGTAGACGGCGCAGGTGCAGCGTGGCCAACGCCAACGGTAGCATCGAATGATCACTCAGTTAATTGGGCAACCCTTCGCCGGTGATGCATCATTGTTCCGTGATCGCGAAATGGACTCGCCTGGGCTTTTAGATGATGGAGGCGAATGCGGGCGACATTTTGGGCTGATTCACATGACGGCCCACGGTGTTTCATCATGACGTCATACCATTGCTTTTACTTATATCTCACTAATTATAATAAGAGAATAGCTAGGAAAATTGACGAAGCGTAACGTAGCGTGAACCTGGCTTGGAGCAATTATTCTTCTGTCAGGACTTTGGACTACCAACGAAAGTCAAAGAAAGAGGCCATTTAATGGAGAGTCACGATTGAAGATGACGTCCTGACCTTTCGGGGTCGGATCTTCGGCTGATCAGGCGAGCCGAGCGATGCGCTCGCTTCAGCAGTGCCCGCTTTAAGACGGATAATCTATTTTTTTTATGTCCATTTAAATGCAGAATGTTTTCCATGGAAAAAGGCAGAAGGCCACGATGTTCGAATAACCGAGAGTTATTACTATTCATGAAAAACCACGATCCGTGCGGTATACGAGTAATAAAAATCGCAGGTAACTTTCAAAGTTTACATTCGGACGAAAAGCCACACGAAAAGTTCGTCTGTCGTGTACCCAAAAAAAAAAAAATAAAAAAGAAAATAGAAAATAAAAAAAGAAGAAAAAAGAGGGAAGGAGATCCAAGAATGGTGAAGCACGGCCCTGATTATGACCCGTTCGTTGCGTGGAAACGAGGTACTCGCATCGAAAAGGAGTTTCACGTTTGGCGCAAAAGCGAAACGTTCTAAAGAGTTGGAATTACGGGTCGTTGAATGGCCTTAAGAGACCTGAATTCTTTTCTAAATAGATTGCCTGCCGCCGCCGCCGCCGCCGCCGTCGCTCGTTACTTATTACCTCAACCTACTAATTCTAACTGCTATAGCGCATTATGCTAGAAGCTGGCAACAAGATGGAAACACGGGCTAAAGGGTTCGCCCGCTGTCGTGAGCGATTTGAATTATGATCGCCGTTTGTCCGGAGTGATACCCGACGATCCAACGAGTCCGATCATTTCGGAATTGCGCTATGATCGTTGCGTTGCTGTTACAGCAAAAGGGGAGTCGATGTATAAAAGCGTCGTTTAACAAACAGCTACTAGCGGTGCGATTTCAGTTTCGCTTACCGTCACAAAAGACGTGCAAGAGTCGTTGGTGTTTCAATAATAGTAATTTTGTATATACACATACACATAATCAGATGTATTATGTATTTTTCTTCTTGTTTTCAAGTGAAAGTATGCTGAATAAGCGAGAACACTAAATAAAGGTGTAGTGCGTGTGTATCACGCGAATCCATAGCACTTGCAATGTTGCAAATACAATCAGATTCTTTGTTGATTCTACAACATTGCGTACGTAGTACACTTTTATGTTAATATTCTCGCTTATTCAGCATACTTTCACTTGAAAGAAGAAAAGAAGATATAACGTATCTGATTATGTATGTAGAATTACTATAGCAAATAAAGGTGTGCTACGTGTGCATCGCGATCATGGGAATTCATAGTATTTGCAATTTTGCGAATACTCGAATCAGATTCTTCTCGTTTAGCGATATAGCCGATGGTCTCTTCTTTAGAAATTATTACACAAGTTGCTGTAACTCTCACGCGCGCAAGGGCCGTGCGACGTGCGATTGCGGGAACCTCAGCTTTAAAGGTATCGAGTGCGACGTGTCGAAATATACACCAGCCAATTACATCCAATTAATTAGTTCTCTTTTGCCGCACGATGCCCGTTTATCACGGCCCGCGACTTTTCCAGCCCACGAAGTGAAAGCCATTATATTATTTGGCGCCCGCGAAAAATGTCGATCTATCGCGAAAGTCGCGCGCACGTATCTTTCCTCGCTCGGCAGCCCTGACCGGTTTCGAATATATAAACCCAATGCGGGCAGTTGCTGTTGGCTGTTTTCGGTCTCGTTCACCCTCGGACGGTGCGCCGAGCCGGTCCGATCCAGCTGCGAACACGACCGTTCGCGCGCGAGTATTTATTAATTGTCGCCTCACTCTCAGCCGATTACTCGCGCAATTACTCAATTAACAGCGGCGAACGGCCGTCATTCTTTTTTTTTCGCACGGTGACAATGAACGCGACGATTGTAACGGACGAAAGAACGGCCGCGTAATTATCGGGTAATTATACGCGATCGATCGATCTTATCGACCCAACCGCGCTGAATGCTACGAGGCCGATTATTAACCCGTTCTCGCGTTCAAACGCGATATTTCCCCGGCACGACCGGTAATCGCGGCTCAATCTCGATTTTTCCGCTTCTGCCGTCGCGATCGCGCCACGGAATCTAGTCCCGCGCGCCCGTTCTGAATTATTGAGCGATTTTCGCGGACCAATGGAGTATCGATTGGCTCATTGCGGTCGATATCCCAGGAGTTCGTTTCTGATAGAGTAACTTTCTCGGCGACGCGCGCGCGGATCCGATATACCCGTGAATCGAATCGAAATGGAGGCGCCGATTTATTCGACTCGAACAGGCACGCGCGCGGATGTGGGATTACTTGCGTGTGTCGAATTATTTCGCCCAACGAGGCTTATTTGCTCAAACTATTTGACCTGTACGAACCGTGCGAGCGTTTGGGACGAGCAGGGTCGAATCGAAGATTGTCCGATAAATATACCGCTCGCTGCAGTTATAGATTCCTGAAACTATCTCTACTCTGTTATCACATAATGATCGACTACGAGTGCCGCCCGAAGCATTGGAACTCGCTCGGCACACGGCACTTCGAGACTGAATTATCTGTTTCAGAAAATGCCGGTAACACATTGGCGGGAATGCTCGTGTGCGCCCGTAATGTTCCTTTCTCCGCGCGACCTTAAGGACACGTCCACGACACACAGATCCTTTCTTTGGTCTTTGCTCCTATGACATTTTTGTTGCCCGCTCAGCTAATTTATTCTCACACTCACCACGTTTCCATCTTGCATACGCAGAAAAATTCTCCTCTTTATTTGCCTTCCGCTAACGCCTCCTATTGCGACTAACGCGCGTACGATCCCTCCCCTCTCTCCCTCCCTCTCTGCGAGGATAAATATTCTCTGTAGAATCCATAATTATGACGTACCTCTCCTTGCTGCGCCGCACGAACGCGCGCCTTCGTATGCATATTACATATTTATTTATTTAAATCGGGAGTTACAGTATCTCTCCTTCTTTCTCGGGCGGCGCGCATTCCCGGCGTGTGCAGGCTTACATATTCCATCTCGATATATCCCCCCGGCAGCTCAATTTTCGCGAAGAATACCTACTCTTCGCCCAAGGTGACGATTCGCACCCACCCGTATGCGTGCGCGCGCGCACGACTCCCTCCTGTAACATTGCATTTTCAAGCGACTCGACCCTGCCGTGGCGTCGCAGCGAATCGCGTCGTGCTTTTGCTCCAATTTTTACATAACACGAGGATGTGAAACTAGAGAAATTTTATTCATGAAACCGCGCGGCACACACACGAGGAGATCCATGGGAAAACTTCCTCCTATGTAATATAATGTGATGGCGCAGCACGCGCGCGCGAGCTGCCGACTGAAAACGAGAGACGGCTCGTCGGTGACGTGCAATGCGGTAACGATTGCACGTGCGCGCACGCTCGTTATAGCCAGCGGATAGGTAAGTCGCCAGGTCGACCGGTATCACCTGTCTGCCTGCACCGCGTTGCCTGCAGCTCGGCGCATCCGGCGATGCTGCGCCCGCGGAGCCGGATGCCGGTCGCGTCGCACAGTCGCGCGATTATCAGTCGGATAAACTTGACTCTCGCGTTCGCGCGTCCGGCACCTACGAGTAGAAAGTAAAGCTTGCTCGAAAAATGCGTTCTCCTGCGCTGAGAGGAAAAATATCCAACAAGTGAAACACATTTATTTTCAGTCGTTACGTAATAACACATTCATAAAAGTAACATATTTTTCACGTAAGAAAATACACATTTTCCCAAAAACTTAGCTTTTCACGAACAACAGCTGATTCTATTTAAATGAGAGGATTTAGATTTCTGTAAATATGTCACTAGCACCCACCAAGTGGATTTTTTTATTTTCAGATATTTTTTCCTTCAGTATGCGTATAATAGATTGTTTCTACAGTGAGAGTTTCTCGAAAACATTCGTCAGAAGATCGTAGTCTCGCCGAATGTTCAGAACACATCAACTTTGAAGGTTATTTCGAGTTTGTCAGGCGAATTCAGAGCGGGTCCGAGCCAGTGATTGATTCATTGATTGATTCGGGTTACTAACGCATCGAGAAGTGAGATCAACCTAATTTCGGTGTTTACGATTAAATTTGTGCGTTGCACGTCCGGATCGTTATATGCAACATCAAGGCGATCCATTTGCTCATCGTATTGCTGCACGCATTACTGAAACGGCTACATATCATGCGCAGTTATACACGCAGCTCCTACATC